TGCTGCTGCTGCTGCTGCTGCTACTAGTACTACTACTACGACTGCTAGTAGTAGTAGTAGTAGTAGTAGTAGTAGTAGTAGTAGTAGTAGTAGTAGTAGTAGTAGTAGTAGTAGTAGTACTGCTACTACTACTACTACTACTACTACTACTACTATTGCTAAGACTGCAGAGGTCGTGCAGGAGGAGATCGAGAATCGCCGTCTTCGAAGCGAGATGCTTGCTTCACAGCCCCGCGGCGCATCGGCTTTCGGCGTTGGCGTTTCGTGCCGCTTCCCTTTGTGTCATATTCCTACATGTCGGTCTCCGATCCCGCCAGAAGCACCACCCCGTCGTGCAGATCATCTTGCCTATGCCAGGTTGCTATGACTTCCGGGTGGGTCCACTGACGGTACATCTTGCAAGTACTCTGGAAACATGCGTGGTGATGCTTGCTGTGCTAGAAGAATCTCTCGATATGCCGCTATCTGAGACCATACGGCATAAGCACTCTGAGTGCTGCATGGGTATCTAGACTCCAACGGGTTGAGGGCTGTTAACCTCAGAAGCAGTCTGATTGCACGCAATCAGCCGAACGAAATGGCGACACCAAGCAGCACCCTTCGCTCTGACTACCTAGGACGCAGGCTCAGAAGCTCCAGCGCCAGTCTCAACGCCACTTCGCTACAGTTATGTGGTTGGTTGTCAAAAGTGTGGTCCCTTTTTGGGTCCATATTATAATACGACACCTATTATTTAGGGTACCCCAAAAGAGACCCTAATTTTGACAACCACCCATGTGTCAACCCGATGAGAATGCTGGCTGCAAGTTAATGAAGCACCGAAGGCAATCAAAGCGCGGACTCCTTTGTCGAGGTCGAGGTTCATACAGGTCCCGATGGCTCCAGGACATGTCCAACACATCTTGACTCACGATGCAGCAAATCCCTGAACCATCCTCAGCCTCACCAAAACCTGCACGGGAGCTTTCTGGTGCCAAGCCGGGGCCGGGACAACCTGCGATGGGTCTTCCGATTCTCCAGCCTGTCTTTCGCCCCAACGAACCCGAAGTGCAGGAGCTGTGGTCAGATTCCGAGGTGAAGACTTTGCATGACATGAAATTTCCCACGCGCAAATCAGGCTGGCAGGCCATAGCAAAGAAACTCCAGAAGAGCGAGGAGTCTGTGAAACGGAAGTGGGAGGAAGTTCGCGACTAGCTCTCGAATGCTGTTCAACATGCCGCACGCACACCATGTTTTCTGATTGCAAGCATGAGACGCGGTCTGAACTCCACTCGTCTGGCAGAGAGGTTATGGAAGAAAAGGGCCGATGCATCGCGGTTCGTGACCCATGATCGACCCATGCATATAATGCAAACGGGTTTTCGGTGTTAGATAGCGGATCACTGTTGCGACCCTTCAATGACACTGGTACGCCAATACATCGAGCTGGTGGAACCGACAAGCTTCGCAAGGCTTTGGGCTAGCTCAGAGTGACCCGAGAGTTACCAGCGTTTCTTTGTTGGTGTACGAGAGCTCTCAGTTCAACAGCGCTGTAGCGTGTTAGGTTTCGCTCTCTGTAGATAGACCTATATGCAGCTTGCAGGCAGCCTGTGAGAAGATCTGTTGGTCCCATGTCCATGAGTACAGAGGTTTTGGCCAGCGGGGCCACGTGTTTCGAGTTGAGCTGTAAGTTTTATGCAGAGCTTGTGGTTTTAGCACATTCATATTGCGGCCTCGAGGTGCCCTGTACCCTAATTTCCTTAATTCTTAGAGTCTTAAACCTTAAGCCTGCCACTTTGCCCTAAACTCTGCAAGTGTTTCGGCTTGGGCACGGAAGCCGAGGATTGGACTTGGAGTTGTCAGAAGTCGGCTCTGACCGAAATGCGTGCTGAGCCTGAAGTCGGGATGCTGCTTGTTCTTCAGGGCTTAGGATTAGTGATGAAAGGTTGAAGGGACGTTTCGCATTTTCGTGTCCATAGCAACCTCCAAGACCCGGATCCTGGAAACCTCAAAGTCCAAAGTCCTGAGCGACACAGCTGCTGCATGCTGAGATGCTTATGCATAGCATCGCCGTATATTTCCAAGATATTACACTGGATCTCACGAGTTTCTGTTCGCATTGCTCTTGGCGGTTGCAGAAGCCCTGCAGCGGCCGTAACTAGCAGTAGGATTCTCTTGCGGAAGTTCTTTCCTGTACCGAGTCTGCTTTGGCACTCACAGCAGGGTAGAAGCGTACATTCGCGCAGAAGCACATGCAGTAGCAAGCATCAGTCGCTGGTAATTTAGCAGTATCGTTCGGAACGACAAGCATGAGTAAGTTTTCTGACCGACGCAGTCGTGCATGTGGAAGATAAGGTATTAACGGCGCGCGGAAAAGGTGTGAGTACTGTAGTTGGGGTAGCAGGAACAACTGAAACACGGTGCTTGTAACTCTATAAGCATAGCAGTCAGACCGCAGCAAAGGCAGCAGCAGCAACACAGGCCAACAGCCAACTACAGCATGAGCACCAAGCAGCACCAACAGCGGAGCAGCAAGACGAGCTGCAGCAGAAACAACGGCATCAAAGCAGGAGCAGAAAGAGAAAACCAAAGGCAACATCAGCAGCAGCTCTACTTGAAGTCTCAAGTTGGCTGGGTCGTAATGGGAGCATATTTCCTTCCCCATGTGCATTTGCAAAGGCTCGCCGCCGAGCTCCCAGCTGCGTGCATGGAGCTTCGTGCCGAGGCAGCTGCTGCAGAGCGCAGCTCTGAGGCTGGGAATGTTTTTGTTCTTGGGCGGATGGTTCCTGCGAATGCTGATATATACTTGTGCTACATGATTATGGGCGCGCATTGCCAGAGGAAGACTTGCCCACTACGGTGTTACTACAGTATCTCGCAGCACCTTTGGGCGGGGTGAGGCCGAGATCCAGGTGCTCATGAGGCAGCTGCAGCAAGAGGCGACGAGTCAGTGCCTCAGTTTCTCTGGGCTTCGAAGGCTGTTGATGTTGGATTTTTGATTGGGCCGTGTGGAGTCCTTACCTGAGCAGCGCAACTTATTTTGCCTGTTGCGTTGCTGACTTCTCAGGTGCACGTCCTAGGTCATCCTGTGCTGAATCCAAATCAGAGCTGTCTGGGACTTGTCGGATCTGTAAACGGAACTTATGCCGGTGTGTTGTGGTCCGTTGGAAGACAAGCCTCCACCACGAACCGTTGGTCCTTCAAACACCGCCGTCAAGCGGTGTGCAAGAAGCCTTGCTATCCAAACAACCGCTGCAAACTGCGAAGCTTTGTCTACCTATCCCTTCTTGCTCAGCTGCTGCGTCATCGGCTGCATCCCTGGCAGGCCACGGCCGATGTGAGTTACCATTTCGGAGTATGAGTAGAATGAACGCTAACTTCGGCATCAACACTTCATGTCAGGGCAAGCAACTGGGCTGGGAACTAGGAAGCTCAGCGTAAAGCTTCGTTGTGCTCGGGGCTGAAACCAGCGTTGGATCGGCAAGGTTATGCTTCTTTCTATGGCTGGTTTCAACGGTTCTCTCCGCTCATCTGAACATGGGCCATGAGGGTGATGTATGTAGTGTCGTTTACGTAGGTTCGGCCAGTTTTTTCCGTCAGCAATCAGGATCGAAGATGAGCTGGCACAGGTATTACTTGGACACCACTCTGGAACTGAGACGGTGAACCCTTTCACCTTCCACCCCCATGGCAGACTCCAAGATTAGTTCCGATTTCTGAAGCTTGCTCTGTTCGAGGATCGAATCTGTCCCTGGAGCGAGCACGTCGCGAATTGCACGACCTCCGCCTCTCAGTTGCTATACGGGAGGCTTTGAGAGTTCTAGTACGACTATTCCTGCGGCTGCTGCTGCTCCTACTCCTCTCCTCTACAAGTATTCTACTAGTACTGCTACTGCGGCTACTAGTACGACGACGACCACTGCGACTAACTACTGCTCAGTCTCCTGTTGCTACTCTACTCCCCCTTAGCAGCCTTAGCACCACGACGTCGACGACGACTACTACTACGACTACTGCTCCTACTCCTGTTAATTGCTGTATTGCTGTCATTGAAGGCGGGTTTCAGGCTGTAGGATGTTCGACGGTTTCGCAGTTTATCGATCGAACGACCGAAACACTGCAGACTGCATGAAAGCACGGCATGACAGGCAGCGAGCACCAGGTTGAGTTGGCCCAGTTTGCCAGTGCAAAGGCAGGGTCTGCGGTGCGCAGGTTTAGTAATGCAGGATTTAGCGCTTTCTTTCGTATGTAGGCCTGTGTCATTCTTGCTCGTCATCAAACCACCTGCTGATCACCCGGACTTTTGGACGTTTCTGTCTCCTACGTGCACGCTGGGGACTTGCAAGTCCAGCATCTCCGAATCGCAGCAGTGTGATACTGGTAGTAGCACATGCAACAGTACAAAGTCGAACAACATAGCACTAGCATCGTGTGAAGTTCTAGCAGCATGAATGATGCAACTAGGTATACAACGACAACATGTTACAGGTAGCGATGGTGCAACGAATACTAGCAAACAACTAAGAGCAATGATAGCCACCATGTTTATGGTCATGATCACCGCAGAGAAGAATGATATCAGCAACAATGCCAAAAATAGCAATACCAATACTAACACGCGCACTGACACTAACACCGATTAGCAGAAATAGTAGCAGTAAAGGCAACTGAAGCAACAACAACTACAATCGCACTAGTCGCATGTCTCGGTTTCTTGGGCAGGTCCAGTGGCAGGCGACTTCCGAATCCTTGGAGGCGTTCCGGCAGGGATTCGCCTGTAATCCCGAAGGCAACCAGTCCTAGGAAGTCGGAACGAATCCACGACCGCATCTGGGGCTCCGGTTTTGGTTGCTTTTGTCTGCTTCCTGGCAGGCTGCGAGCAAAGAACAGAGGGAGCTGCACAGCGAGCTGAATGCGACGCGGCTGATTTGCAGGGAATGACTCGACACCAGCTTGTCGTGAATGAAGAAGATTGCAGAACGGCATGACCTGTTATGCCGCAACTCTGCTGCTCCACCGCGAAGTCCAGTACATCACGGTGGTGCTGCCGCTAAGTTGCCGACCGAACAATGAACCTGCCCTAACCCCCCAGTTACCTACTATATAGGGTACTAGAGCCCCTGGGGCCCTATATAGTAGGTACCTGGAGGGTTAGGGCTGTTTCATTTCTTGCGTCACCATGCAGCTGAGGCTGTGAAGCTTCGCTTCTGCGTCCTGGCTGGGACAGCAGGGTGCAGCATGTTCTACCTATAGTCTCCATTGTAGTTCCTTTTTGTGGTTAACCAATTTTATGGTTAGGATCCTATAATATAAATTTGGTGAACCAAAAAAAGGAACTGCAATGGAGACTATCGGTAGGGGTCAGGATGGCTACATACCTTGTCTTTATCACGTCTTCCAGCGTTGAGTCAATCATAACCCTGACATTGTGAGTCTTCCTGCAATTGTGAGTTGTAGATGCAATATACCTCGGGGCTCCTTGAAAAGCACACCGCTCCGACTCCGCACTGCCTTGGCGTTCGAAGGCAACCTGCAAGCCGAGAATGCCGCCGAGAAGACGGAGAGCATGTCGGCCAGGGGTGCACTGCAAGATCTCCAGGCCCGCTTGGATGCCAGCTGCCCGGCGAAACACTGGCCTTGTTTCCTTGGAGACGGAAGTTCCACTGCTTGAGTACTCTTCATTTCGGAGCTGCATCTGGTCGTCGAACTTAGCTATTCTGGGTATTTGGTGGATTTGTTGTATCCGCACCGGTGTCTCGAAGAGACCCTGAGCACCCGAAAGCCCTAAGTCTCAAGCCTGAAAAGTGCTCGGCAACATGAATTTGTTTGAAGTTTGTTTAAGCCTCTCTCTGAGCGTAGCGGTGAGGTTTGCTCTGCGAGCGGCGCTTGAAGGTGGAGTGCACTGCTCACGGAGAATCAGTACGGTCACTCGGACTGGAAAGAAATTGTTGCTTCGACTCTGCTTCGATACTAAATTCAGTGGGATAACTGACCCTCGATAGACTCTGAGCCACTTCTTGGTTCATGTTGCTGTTATTGGATCTTTTGTTTGGGGGGCGATCTAGTGGGGGCAGCACGAAGTATGGTCTTAATGAACCCTTAAAGAGGCTTGAATCCCAGCATCTCACTCGTTGCCAGAAGCCGAATGGATAGGCCATGAAGCTGCAAAAGGCTGAGTGCTTCTAGCCCACAGATACGCTTTGGCAAAGCAACGCAGCCCGTTCGCTTTACTGGTCGTGTTGAGCAACGGTGTTCGCTAACCCACTACTACCACTACTACTACTACTACTACTACTACTACCACTACTACTACTACTACTACTATTATTATAATTATAAAATAATAAGTACTATTATTATTAATATGATTGTTATTATTATTACTAATATTATTATTATTATTATTATTGTTATTTCGTCTCCCCAAAAGCCCACCTTCAAGCCCCAAGTAGCTCGAGGACTATGGAGATGACTGCGGAGGACCTCCTGAGTTCCCTCCGTGAGGCTGATGAGCTTTCTGAGAGTTTCCGGGTTTAGGGGTTTAGGGTTTATATAGGGGTTTAGGGTTTAGGGTTTACGGGCTCCAGAGTTGGAGTTTCCGGTTTTGGGTGGAGGTTCGTTTCTCCAGTTGGCCCCAAACCCCTAAACCCTATACCCCAAACCAAGAAGGGTGCATCCCAGCTTGAAAGAGTGCCCAACGAATTTGCGGTTTTTCGAGGGGCCGATGCATGGCACATTCTGTGTCGAACGGCTTTACATCCATCCAGCAGCTCTGGGTTGTATCGACTTTGAAGGTTCTATGTGGTTCAGGCACATGTGTGCCAGATACCCAGGCACATGCACATGCAGAGATGTTCTGCACATGTACGTCTGCGCATACATATAGTATGTGCATGTGCCTTTACATGCACATAGATGCGTATACATGTGGTCAGCGGTGCTGTATCATACATACGCACGTACATAAGTATTACATGCCCGAAGCGCACACCAAGGCCCGAAATCGTAGTCTAGCAGTATGACCCTGAGCCCAACGCCCTAAACTCGAACTCCCGACCCTAAACCCTGAATCTTAACCACGAATCCCAAAAGCGCCGAAGTCTAAACCCTTCCGAGGGCAGTTCTCTAAAGTTCAATTATAGGGTCCTTCTTTCATACGGGTGCCGTACTGTTTTGGGGGACTTGTTAACAAGGGATCCTAAATTAGAGAACTACCCACATGCTGAGCTTCGATGGAGGCCGAGGTGCAGGTTCAGTCGGTCTCTGAGGAGCGTTTCGCCCAAACTGCTCGGCTGCCTGGCTGGGTTTCGTGTTCCGTGACTTTACGGATGTACCTAGTGTGAGGTTTTAAGAGTATGTGAGGGTTTCAGGATTTATGGCTTTTGTGTCAGGATCAAGCAGCCCCTTCTCGGTTTACGATAAGGGCTTTAGGTTGCAGGTCTTTGCCCTGTCAGAGTCTTTGCATTCGTCTTTCGGTTGGAAATGGCTTCTTCATTACGTGCAAAATCTCGTGCTAGTAGGGGATGGTGTTGCTGAACAGGGTGGATCCTTGGGACCACCTTCCGAACATATACATGCTTCATTCTACGTGAGAGTTCAGAGAATAAGAAGAAAAGTAATAGTACGAAAAATACGAATAAGAATGGAAAATACGAATAAGGACGGCTCTAAATTAATATAACAATAATAAGAATCAACGAATGCGAATAACAGTAGTGGTAAACATGACAGTTTTCCTTACCATAATGACAATCTCAGCCGCCCCATCCGAGGGCCTTCAGCGCGAAGGCGGAAGTCGAAGACCTGCAAAAGCGCTTGGTCGGCGCCTAAGACAGGTTGCTTCTTCTCCGTGCATGGTTGCTTGGTTTGTCTGGCAAATATGATGCGAGAAACACACGATGTGTGCGTATATATATATATATTTTTATATTTATTTATTTATATTTATATTTTTTGCTAATTATGTTAGAACACGTACTTCGAGAATCGCAAATAACATAGCCTCATCGTCATCATCGTCGTTATCGTTATCATACCATCCCCCTTATCGTCGTCATGATTATCATCACAGTCATCATCGACATCATCTCGTGGCCTCGGTCGCGATCCCCGCCGGACGGATACCAAGCTTGACTCCCGAGACCCACATCAGGCGGACATCCTGGAGGAGCATGAGCGTGTCCTCGCTCAGCAGCAAGTGGAAAGAGCCCAATCGGCTGACACTCGGGCCTGCACTCGGGGTGTAGTGCTTGTTGCTTGTCTCGTGCATACATGAAAAGAAATGATTTAGTCAGAACGTCTATAAGTGTTGAATCATCCACCCGGAACGGCTTTCAAGACGCGAAGGCTGTAAGTCTACCCTCGCGACAACTGCCATATAATGGAAGCACTCTACTCTTGTCCTTTCCATTTTGACGAGAAGGCGTTGCCTGACAACCACGATAAACCTGGACTGGGACTGCTGTTTGAGCATTTCCGGCTGTTACGCATTGTCTACGATGGGTTTCGTCTTCTGGGATAGCTCAGGAACCAAAACCATAAGTGAGTAGATACTTACCGCGAGGCACTTCCACACGCTTTGGTTTGCGGGTTAACCTGTGGTCCAAGGAACTGGCACGCTTGGTGGAGGAGTGGGGCGACCAGGCATCTGACTTTCGCCCATGGAACCCCTTTGCAGCTGAGTGCCTGAGTGGTTGTTGATCAGCAGCGTGCATAAACTGCGACTGGTAGCCTTTGGCTGTTCTTCCATAAGCTAATGTGAAAACTGATGTATACTCTGTAGGAAGTTCCTCAGGGCCCTAATCGGCAGGCTGCCGCTTACCCACCTTTCAAAGGAAGTTGTAACCAGCCGTACTTTAAAAAAGGCTGGCAGCCGCTTTGCTCGTGTGCACAAGCACATGCCAGCAAAGCCAAGCAACAAGTTTAGGATTTGCAGATCTCCACCGTTTGTCAAGAATGCCTAGTTCTTTCATTGTGTTTGTTAGACTGCTTGTAGGGGTTTCTTGCCTGCAGGAGCGAGAGGTGCGGCAAGCCCAGGCCTCCTTATTGCTCCTTTCTGGCGACCTTCGCCTGCCTCGGGGCTTTTGCCATGGACAGGCTTAGGGTTTATAGGCTTATCGGGTTTAGGCAGAAAGGGTAGAGGGGTTTCGGGTTTGGGGTCTGGGGTCTAGGTGCAGAGGCTGGAGCAGGAGATACGATAAGAAGGACGGCACAGCATGCCGCAGCTCGGACCTTGGCAAGAGACGAGTCTTCAAGCGATCGCTGCCTTCGGTTTGGCAGGCGAAATGGGCAGAGGACTCCGCGGCCCAACATGCGCAGCTGGAAGCACAACTGGCCAAGTTTCTCGGCCCTGCAAGCCGGAGAACCAGGCAGAAGGAGATATAGAGAAGAAAGATATGTACATAGTTTGGTTTAAGACAGATCGAGGATCGCAGGGGCTTTGGGAGTCGTTCGGTTCTGCAGTGGTGACTTTGACAATGCAGCTGCTGCAGTGCTTCACAGAACTTATGTATCCAGCCAGGCCTGTGGAACAAGCAGGTGACATGTCAAGCGACGAGCTGCATGTTGCAAGCACTGCATGCATGTGTTCGTATGCACCGTGTGTGAAGAATCAGCTGCAACCAGTACCTTCACGATATTGGCATGATGAATAATTATATAGATGCATCCCACCTCTCTGACCGAGTTCCGTGCCTGATCCGGCACAGATTGCTCCAGCTGGATTGCGAAGCCCCAGGCAGAAACTGAAATATACTGAAAGCTTTGACAGCTCTGGCTAAAGGTGCGGTGAGACGTCCGCAGCAGAGGTCAAGAAGGTGCAGCAACAGTGACTTCGGCTGAAGAGTCAGCAGCGGCGACACGGGAGAGTCTGCAGTGACACACGGTAGATGCAAGCACGGCAGAGGAATCCATGCAAAGATGAGTCCATCGCTTTGGTCTCCGTGGACATAGTGCTATTGGCTGCTGCATTTGCTAAGTATGATGTTTTGGACCTCCACTTTTGTACAAAGGTTTCTTGCAGCTGCAACAAAGTGGTCAATGACGAACTCTGCTCTAAACCCGAAACCCTAAACCCTAAACCCTAAACCCTACACCCTAAATTATTAGGTCCAAAGCGGCGGACGGAAATCTGAATCTGATGCTCTGAGGCTGGACTCCTGTCGCCAGGAAATCAAGGTGCCTGAGCTTCGTAGGGTTTAGGGTTTAGGGTTTAGGGCATGTCCTGCAGCTAATGTAGGGGCCTTAATAATTGGAGTAGGGTTTGGGGGTATATGATACTATAATCATAGTAAGGAACAGGTGGTTTAGGTCAGCCGGACCCCAGGTCCTTCCCTTAGGGTTTTATAGGGTTTAGGGCGAAGACTGCTTGTGATAGTTAATACAGGAGCCTGAATAATTACCTATACTATTTTGGGGGGGCTCCTTATTATAGATATGTATAGTATAACATACCCCAAAACCCTCTTCTGATTATTAAGGGCCCCTGCGATACCGGCTCAAGATGCCTGGGACTCGCAGCAACACTCTGTGCAGCCCAGAGACTCCAATACCCCTTAATTAAGGAATATATACTTTAAATTATAGTAGGATCCCTAGTAAGATTTAAGGTATATTCCTGAATTAAGGCGTATTGGAGTCTCTGGAAGGCTAAGCAGATCGAGCTGGAGACCTTAGAGGCGCATCTTCGCACTGCAGACTCCGCCCGCAGTCACGCTGCAACTCGCTTCCGAAGAGTTCTGGGGTTTGCGGTTTGGGGTTTAGAGTTTAGGGTTTCGGAGGAATGGGTTCTGATTCGAAGCGGGGATGATTCACCTTTGCGACTGCTAGACTTGTGTTTTATGCCCTGGTGCTGCTGCCCCAGATCCCGAACCCTGCACCCAGCATCGATGCTAAAGGCCTAAAGCTGCACCATCGTTGGGAATTGAACAAGCAACTCAACGCTTTAGCCGCTTAAAGGCCTAAACCCTACGGAGCCCTAACCCCACGAGTCACTGCAAATCCTTCAAGGCCGTAGACCCGCAACACTCTACAGTACGCCCACAAGCTGGAAACCCAATAGCCTCAATCCTCAAGAGTAATGTATAGGGAATCCCAGCACTAATTACTTTTTGGCGTTTACTACAAAGCCCTAAACCTGAGGCGGAACTCTCCAGTGCCTCCGAAGCCGATCTGATCCTCGTCAGCTTAGCGAGTCCCATGTAGTGGTGATCGTTTAGGGCTTCGGACATCTTAGCGTCATCCGTGCGAGGGAGTCCAGGGTTCTTGGGATTTAGAGTTGTGAGTCTTGAATGCGTGCGGACTGCATTTTAGTCTGAGGATGTTTGGCTTTGGTTTCGGCGATAGTCGGGGAATGTATGCAACAGGGCATCGGGGTGCTGCAGTATAAGTAGGTCTACTGTACACATACAGTAGCTGCAGTAGCTACCAGCACTTGCACCCCTAACGATAACTCTGTCTCACCGAGTCCGCCCTGTGATCCAGGGAGTGTCGAGCTTCGGTGTTCCGGTGCTTTTTCCCTTGCTGGCTCGAAGCATCTGAGCCCTACGCCCTCTCCGACCCTAAAGCCCCAGGACGGCTCAGAAGGAAGTTGTCAGCCGTCTCGAAACACGCCTTCTGGAGATGGAGGAAGCTTGGGAGGTGCGCCCGTGTGTTTTGGGTCCCTTCTGTGCCGGAAAACATGGGTGGGCCTGAGGCCCGAGGAGCCTGACCATCTCCTCGTGCCCGTGTGAGAGAGAGAGAGAGAGAGAGTGAGTGAGTGAAAGAGGCAGAGAAAGAGGGAGAGAGACACAGCGACGGACAGACAGACAGACAGACAGACAGATCGATACACAGATAGCTATACATATATAGGCAGACAGATAGATAGGTAGATAGATAGATAGATAGGGATAGACAGACAAATGGATACACAGATAGATTTCGGGGGCGAGCATTCTATCTGATCTGGGGGGGCTTGGGATTTGAGGTTGAGGGGCCGGGGGTTCTTGAACTTGATGGGTCTGGGTTGCAAGATCGGTGCTGATGCACCTGTTCGGCGTTCGATTCGATGATGAGAGTCGACTCGTTTGCTTGAAGCCCATCGGCCCATGCGATGTTGCATTGCAGAAGCCATATAGTAAAACCATAAGTCATCGACCAGACTAGCCATAATTTGACCTGCCCTTGATTAGCGCCTGAACCCTAAACCCTAAATCGCGAAGAAACGTAAGACGTAAGACCTGCACCCAAAAACCTGGAACCCAGAAGACCCGGAGAGTTGCAGGAGCACTCGCAGAGGCTTGTCGCCTCTAACGCCAAGGCCTGCTTCCTCTGTCCAAAGAAAGCATCACTGGGCCGGGCGAAGAGACATATTGCACAGTGGAAGAGGGTCTGGTTGCGGCGGCAGGCTATCTAGGGCAATGGTAGTATTGTGCGAAGTTGCCGTATAGTGCTATGCCCAATTACTGGAGAATGGCTAGTATTGACCCATAGTGCTTCGTCTCTTGAAATCAGCAGTGTTCTTTTGCTAGACATATCTTGCTTACATGATGTTGTCCATTTGTCTAGTCGCCTCCCTCTGCCGTAAGGGCTTAGGCTTCCTACTGTCGGGGCATTGGGCCAGGGTTTCCGGGAGATCCTCGACCTTCCTAGTTCGACCGAAGCCTGCCAAGCCGCAAAACCATGCGGGCTAACCTTCCGGAATAGCGTTTTTTTCTGCGGGCCTATATTCAGATATGCCTTACATTGTTTGTGGCCATGTGGATAGGGAAGCCTGCAGCAGTCTTGGAACTCCGTTCTTTCCGTTGAGTTGCTGGGTGTGTTCATTCTCGTGGCTTAGCCGACACATGAATTAAGACAACAATGATTGTAGTCTCCATTGTAGTTCCTTTTTCTGGTTTAACCAATTCTATATTAAGGGTCTTAAAAGGTAACCCCAAAGAGGAACTACAATGGAGACTATAGGTGATTGTAGATTCAGAAATCTGGGGCGGGACCCGAACCTTACACTGCCATCCCAAGACAAAAGCTCTGAACCCAATATAGAAGCCCCGACTACCTTGCAAAACAGCGGTCTCGCAACAAAATCTGCAGTGGGGTAAGGAAAGACCCCTAAGGGTCCCTTAACCCTAAAACCCTAAAACCCGAACACGATAAACTCTATTTTTGGTACATGGACCCTTAGGGGACTTTAGAAAAATCGGGCTCTCAACACCCCGATAACCTCGAACCCCAAATCTTAAACCCCGAAGTCCCTAAGTTCTCAACGCCACCTATAGTCTCCATTTAGGGTTTAGGGTTTAGGGTTTAGGGTTCTACCTATAGTCTCCATTGTAGTTCCATTTTTTGGTTAACCAAGTTTATATTATCGGATCCTAACCATAAAACTGGTTAACCAAAAATAGGAACTACAATGGAGACTATAGGCAGATCCTAAACAACATCCCACAGGCTTCATTTAGTGTGGCGCTGTGGGCTTTGTACACTGGCCTTCGATCCTCAAATTGGCTCCACCACCGTGATGGCATTCCCACCGAACAGGAGGACAAAAAACAACGATACAAAAAGGAAACCCAAGCCTTTGAGCCCCAAGCCCTATAAACCCTAAGCCCTCAACACGCGGTTCTCTGTTCTGGGCAGGCCCGCCACCTGGAGGATACGTTGGGCACGAAGGTGAGACGCCAAGGGGCAGGGGCGCTAGACCCCAGTTACCTATGTGGGTAGTTCTCTAAGTTAGGGTCCCTTTCTTGGATCCCCAATCTAGTACGGCACCCTTATCAAAGGGACCCCAAAAGGGACCCTAATTTAGAGAACTACTTATTATGTGGTAGGTTACCGTATAGCTATTGATTACTCTAAGGAAGAGGGGCATTTCGTTTGGGGTTTCGAGGGCCCGGGTTAAGTTCGAGTTCGAACTCAGAGCTCCTCCTATGAGACAGGGATATCGAAAACCTAGTGAGCCCTAAGTAGCCGCTCCTGAACCCTAACCCCCCAGGTGCCTACTAGATAGGGCCTTAGGGGCTCTAGTACCCTATATAGTAGGTACCTGCGGGGTTAGGGGAAGATAAGAACGCCTGACGTTGGTTCTTGGTCCGTTGCCGATAGCCATGTTGTTTTTTTGGATCGGGGGGTTGCTCCAGATCACACTCCTTCTAAGGGATACCTTCTTAGCATGTCAGTGGATTCAGTACCAGGGCAACTTGGCTTAGGATGCAGATGGCACATCTCGATGTGACATTGGTGATGCCTTTAAGCCTGATATTCCGCATTGTGCTTGGTACTTTCTTGCAAGAGGACTTCTATTCCTGCCGCATATTCCTTATCCGAATATCAACACTAAAGACGTCAAGCGTCAGAGCCCACAGCATCGTCGAGTCCCGGTTTGGCGATGAACTTCCGTGTTACGCATTGCAAAAGTGTACGGATTGACCGTCCCTGCAGTAAAAGATGACAGTGCAGTGGCTGACCCATCCCTTAGCCCTAAACCCTAAACCGACGGTGCTCTAGGAGGGCACCAGCAAGGCAGCATGAGCTCCCAGCAATCTTTGGTTCAGGAGCGCGACCTTCAACAGCAGGCGGGCTCCTGGATATCAGTTTCAATTTTTGTTGACGAGAAACACGGACACCAGTTTTTGGGCACAGCTGCTCTTGATCGCATATGTGCCTTGAGCTAAATGAAGTTTAGGCTCATGATAGCGACAGCGACGACAATTGTCTGGCGGACGGCTACGCAAAGCTACACCTTTCAGGAAGTGAATTTCAGGAGATTCCATGGCACTCCTCTCGGACATTGTTCATACCAGTGACCAACATGCGCCGTCTAGATCGTGGTCTATGTTCACGGAGCGAGCTGCCTTGCCAATCTCTTCGCAGGTGTCCAGGCATCAGCTGGAGGAGGAGCTCTGCAGGAAGCTGACGCCCCGTGCCTCGAGTTTAGCCCGAAGACCCAAATCCTGAATCCGCATAGTCCTGGGCTCCTCAGAGCCTGAGCAACGTGACCTTGGAAGCGCAGGAAGGGGGAATTTGGCAGGGCCACTGTCGTAGATGCACAAGTTTGCGACTTTGCCTGTGTCGTTTGCAAAGGACGGCCTGCGCCGAACTGGAGGATGAGGCTTTCCAACAGCGCCAACAAACTGAAAGCTTGAGGAAGCCCGACTGCATGCCAAACGGGCGGGATGGAGATGAAGCCATTCTCCGGCATTGAGGGAGAGAGAGAGGGAGGGAAAGACAGGGAGATAGATAGATAGATAGATA